GAAAAAAAAAAAAAAAAGAAAAAAAGACATTTTCAGCCCTTCCTGCTAAGTGTTCAATAAGAAACATGAAACATTGTCTAATACACATTACATATGGGAGATGTTAAAAAGTCTGACTACTGAGAAGTTGATCAGAAGTACTAAGTGAAATCATAATTTCTTGCACTTCTAATTGATTTGATTCTCCAGCAAGATGTCACAGTACCTTCAGCTCCCTTCAAACTCTTCTTTGTACTTCATCTAAGGTATCTATGTTTTCATATTTTTGTCACTTCAAGTAGGTATGAAAGCACATTTTATATACTTTGCATTTTAAGACACATATTTGTCCCATATGAAACCAATAAAATAATCTATAGCTCAAGACTTGTATCACGATTCAATGTCTAGGTTCCAAGTTTGTACTCAGAGCACAAATCTTCAGACTTAAGTGATAATGGGTTATTTTCTAACAAGTATCACCCTGTTTTAATATTAAAGTACATGACACACAATGACAAAACCCCCAAACTACAATGCTTCATCATGGAAGAACATCTCAATCTTTGCTTACAACTTCCACTAGTACTGTTAATTTTCCAACTGTTCAAATAGAAACTCTGTTTTGGTAACAGCTTGTTGAGAGAACTCCATGTTTTCCCAGTATGTACTTGAAGAAGATTAATGAGTCTTACTAACATGCCAAGTCAATCTGTTCCCTTCTGTCAATCAACTCCCATAGAACAAGTATGTCTGTCTCACTGGCTATATTTTCATGCAGATACACTGCAAAAATTTAATTAAAACGCTAACCACAACTGATCATGAAATACATTCCAGAACACCATTTAAGAAATAATTGGATAGGTATTAGGTAAACCTTTTTACGAAGAACTTTTTCTTCAAGGGGTCATTGAGGACGAAGGAAAGGATAAAAAATATTAATAATTTGACAGAATAATTCTTATGGTTGAATTTTCATTTCTGCTGTCAGCTGGTTCAGCCTGTTTTTAAAAATGATATCTACTTGCAACATCCTACTTGACTATTGTCTGAGAATAAATAATTTACATTTGAAAGGAAGTACAGTGTTGCTCTTACCTTTCTATCTAGGTGGAGGAGGAGAAGAAATTTTGTAAATAGGAAAAGGAGATGACAGCTCTTGCAAGGCTGACTTTTCATGTCAGCAAGCAATAACATATCATCCTGTTCTAATATATCCATTTTAAAAAAAAGAAATTAAGAAACGAGATGGGGATTTCTCATTTCCTTGAATTCCATGGAGGTCCACTGTGTACAAGACACTGCCACAAGTGATGCACCTGAAAAAACAGGGTGGTATAATTCTGTCTATCCTACATTACATAAAACCTGAAAAAAAAGTAGACTTCAGGTCTCAATCAGTTAAATTTGTCATATTACAGGTTAATGATGAGTGGGTGAACCAGAGCACAGAAGAATTAGCCAGCAGAGTCAGCGCTAACATCATGGAGGGAGCAGTCCTTTGAGAAGGCTGTAATAGGAGTCAGGGGAACACTCAAGGGGAAGTCAATCAAGTTAGAGGGAAAAAAAAATGAAGGATTGGAACAGAAACAAAGAGAAAATGAAAGTTCATCTGTGGAAGACTGAATACCACTTATAGAGGACAAGAACCTGAAAGTCTGAAAGCTATATCTACTTCCATTATTCAAGTTTTGCAGTTATTAAGAGCTTTCCTCAAAACAACAACAAAAAGAAAAAATACATAAGATGTAAAAATATGTAAAGAGATGTTTATGTCTTGAATAGATTGTTAACAACTGCAGATTCTCTTGTCCACTGAAGTAGGTCAGCTTCTAATCTGTTTTCTAGTTAGCAAACAGGTCCAAACGGAATGAAAATTCGGTAGGGCCCAGAAAAACATAGAGAATTAAGGCACTGCAGACAACGTCAACAGCTGAAACACATTTATTTTTCATAAACAGTAGATCTTGGTCAATTGGCCTAATGTGAGAACACTAAGAACCAGGAATGATTATGCTCACAAGGGTATTACATCACTGAGGGAAAAATAACAGTCGCATGGCCTGTTTCAGAGAACATACATATAATTCCTACCCATAGTAGTCATTGGAAGAGGAGACAGGCTACCCCATCTTTCCTAGTGATTGAAGTATAGCCCAAAATACTGGAAAAAGTTTCAGTGTACAAAGTTCCTGAAGGGTCTTGGGGCTTTGTCCCCTACCACAATGGGTGCTTGTAGCAGCTCTAGCATTGTCCAGCACTTAGAAGTTGATTTTCTGGCTTTTTTTTTTTTTTTCTTTCCACATTCATAGGCCAAGAACTTATGGTAAACCCAGACTGCTGTCAGCTGACTTTAGGTTAATCCTCACAGTCCTTCTGGATGCAGGCTCTCACTTCAGTCCTCCAGCTGTCTTGCAGTTCATCTGCAATATCATCTGCTCTTGGTCCACTTGAACAGGCCAAATTTGTTTGGAACTTACATGGTGAAAGCATCCTGGATCAATGTCTTTCTATATATCTGTGAGAAAAAGAAAAAACAGAACCATGTAATTTATTTGCATGATCAGGAACAGAGACTATACCACATCAATTTCCAGACATGGACTACTGAGACATCTACTCACAGGCCAAATTTTGTAACTTTACATCTAAAGCCCAAACCTTATTGTGTTGTCATGGAGATCATACAAAGAACATGACACCAGAAACTAGAAGTAAATGTCTGAGAGTCCAGTACAAATGACCAATTTTGCATTTTGGTAATCTATAGGTTATACTATTGATGGTGGAGCAGAGAATGATGGACCTGATCTGTTTTTATGGTATGAATATACTATTTCAAGAAGAATCAATGACAGAGATGGGTGAAACGGTGCTCCCCGCCACCCCCCTAAGCAATGCTGTGGTGTTGTTGCATCTCACTGTAACCCATTCTGCCCAGTGAAGGGGTTATGCAGAAATAGCCCCAAACTTCAGAACTAATGTGGATCCCATCATGGAGATGATATGTACAGGGACAAGAACAGTGCAAGACTGTGATCAGAAGTAGGATGAGCTTCCTGCTATCATTCCCTATGAGCCCTGGGAATGTCAGCAGAAGGTGGAATTTGATGTGCTGGCTGAAGTACATGAATGGAGTCTAGACAGAGGAGTGACAAGATGGGGTGTGAAAGAGCTGCTGCTGGAATGTATCCCTGGGTAATGACATAACTCTACAGTTAATTGACTTCACAGATTTTGGAACCTAGGTTTCACCTTGTAGGAGTTCTGATGGGCAGAACCTCAGACATACATTTGGTGTTGGGAGAGGGAGAGACAGAAGGGCACTTCAGACTGGGGTCTTCTGCTGAGGTCAGAAACGACCAGATGCTTTCCAGATGCAGGCACTGAAGTGTATGGAGCTGGAAAAGTTGGGCAATAACATTTCTGGTCATGACACAACTGCTTACTTGGAGAACTTCCATGTGGCTACGTTTCCACTCCTTTGTTGTCGAATTAAAGGATGTCTCTCATTTTATGTAGTTAGAGGTCCAGAGCAAGTTGTGGAGGACATCAGTTCCTGAAGCGATGGTGGGAAGTTTTATGACAAAAGGGAGCTCTAACATGCTATTGTTGCAGTTGTCATGCCCACAGTGCCACATACATCATCTGGTCACTTAGAAGGATCCATGTGCCCCCCCC